TAGTTATGACAGGACTGCTTTTTTTTTTTTTTGCAAATTTGGACTGCATGTTGAAACACTTAAAAATAACCTTGATAATGAATTCATTACTTTTATGCATATGATTTTTTTCTTCTGTATTTTTGCATATTCATAAATGAAAAAATATATCTAGCATAGCATCTGAGAGACCAGTTTTGAAGAAATGTGGGATTATTTCCAAGTATATTGTTTATTATTTGAATACCAGATTTTTAAAGGACCTTTTTGAACTTAGCGAATGTTCTTTTTAAATATCTTTAAATGTAACACACTGAATCCACACATTCACAAAAACCTGATCATAACTCTAGAGGATAGGGGAAATGTACCCTTTTTTAGTGATACTCAACCAGGGATGGGATTCAACTGGTGTTACTACCGGTTCGGTGACTATGTCTATGCCGTGTAAAGCAGCTGAGGTTGAAAAAGCAGGAAATAAAGGACAGGTAAGGACAGGAAAGGGCGGGTGGGTGGGCCAAACAGCAGCAAACACAGAACAGGTTCAGTGTCTGCTGCTCTTCAGAGCTACCGGTTCTATAGAGCTGGGCACAACCGGTAGCATCCCACCCCTGTACTCAACATTTTAAAACATACAAAAGGAAGGGTAGTCCTTGACTTACAACAGTTCTTTTAGTAACTGTTCAAAGTTACAACAGCACTGAAAAAAGTGACTTAGGATCTGTGATGACCTAGGATGTGGCATGAAAGCAACACAGCCGGAGAACAAGTCTAACTCCCCTTTATTGCTCCAACTTTGCCCCCAAATGTCCCTATGTTTACTATAAGCAAAGCTCTCACATGCACCTTCAGCAGCCTCTGGCTGCGAGTAGTTCTGAAAGCCAGGTTAGCAAAAGGTAACCAGGGCCAGTAGTCCAGCAAGCCAGCTTAGGTAACAGTAACCAGAACAAAAAGTTCAGTGAAGCAGGCAAACTGGGCAAGCCCCACAAAACAGAACACAGTAATCTCCAGGCATCAGCACACGAAGCTCCACAGATTCAATGCTTGATCCCGAAAAATGCCCCTCCCACCAGCACCTCCATACATCTCAGTCACCAGGTGTGCCTTGTGAAAGAGGGGGCACTCTGCTCCCTCATAATTGGCTCCAGCTGGCTATGCTTCTATATCTCCTACTTGATGGATAGGAGGGTTGTCTAGGATACTTGCTTGTCACCTGAGCTCTGTCTCTCCTGCTCCTCCCTGTCTACAAGCCTTTCTAATCCTGATAAGCTCTGCCTGGACTGGCTCTGCCCTTTCCCAGTTTCCTCCAAAGCCAACAGAGACACCCTCTCGATCTCTGTCAGCTCTTGTTCCAGCTCATCATCCCCCACAGATTCAGACTCCGACGACGGGAGCATGACAGGCCCATTTTATGATTATTGTAGCATCTCTATGGTCACATGATCAAAATCCAGATGCTTGGCAACAGGTTCATATTTATGATGGTTGCAGTGCCCTGGGGTTCACATGACCCCAGGACACTGCAACCATCATAAATATGAAACTGTTGCCAAGCAACCAAAGTTGTGTGACCTTCTGATAAGCAAAGTCAATGGAGAAACCAGATTTACTTAACCACTGTGTTACTAATTTAACAACTGCAATGATTTTCTTAACAACTGTAAGTAAAAACATTGTAAAATGGGGCAAAATTCACTAAACAAATGTCTCATTTAACAACATTAATTTGGGTCTCAATTGTGATCATACGTCGAAGACTACCTGTAGTGATATTTATATATACACGCAGGTAGAAAAAGCATGGTGCCCAATGGCTAGAGCTTCATTATGAGGTCATGGCCAAAAACCTGTCTAACCATACCTTACAGCTGACTTATAGCCATCCAAATAAAAGTCCAAATAATTTTTTTATTTATGGGATTTATTTACTGCCTCAATTTTCATATATTTTAGGAGGTTAATTTCCATGTTCTGCTTTTAATTAATTAAACCTTCCAATTTAGCTAATTAGGAAGATTAGGAAGATGCAAGGTCTAGAAATAGAAAATATAAATAAATATTTTATCTAATGGGTAATATATAAACTATTTGGGATGGCAGAGTTGGTTTCAACTCTTTCTTTTTCTTTTAGTATTTTTTCCTCCGTTCCATAGTTCATAGTTAGATTTTGCTTTCCTTGGATTTTGGACTGGGTTCACCTGTTAATGTCCTCTTCTCTAATATTGCTGGCTGCAATATTGTAACCTTTCCTGTTTTTGATAAAGGTTTTGGACTCCCACTACTTTCAGCAGGAATGGTTATAGAGCAGTGGTGGTATTCAGCAGGTTCTGACCAGTTCTGGAGAACCAGTAGTGGAAATTTTGAGTAGTTTGGAGAACTGGCAAATACCATTTCTGACTGGAGATTTTACAGCACCCTTGCCCTGCCACGCCCACCATGTCATGACCACAGAACTGGTAGTAAAGAAATTTGAATCCCACCACTGTTATAGAGGAAGGAAAGGATATGTAGTCCAGATGTCTAGTGGTACCAAACTGGTGAAATCTATAATACCACCTTTTAAATAATATCTTTGTAGTGGTCCTACTTTGCAATGTTAATCTTTTGGAGGGGAGTGTTTATAGTAGCATATTCAGGTCATGTTTTACCTTTTAAATTGTGGTTTCCTTTACAACTAAAAGTTGAGATGTGGAACACTGAGTTTTAATTGTAGATGTTTATTAATGTTCTTTTTTTAGAGCTGCGTTGCAACTTTTAGCTGACAATTGATTGGAGAAAATGGTTTTTTTATTTGCATGCAGTTAAGAGATGTGTTATGTGATGAAAAGTTTTAAATTTTTGAATTAAGAAGAGATGAAGAAATTGTTTATTTGTTATAATGAGGGTGGAAAGTTGCTTTGTTCAGGTCAAGAGTTATTCTATTTTTTTATTTTTTGAACTTTTTTTTAGAATTATCTTTTACATTTAATTAAAAATTTTAACAAAATTATTATCAAAAAAGGTCTTATCTTTGTAAGATTAGGTAGGATGATAATTTCCAATATTGCAAAAATGGAGGAATGACTTTTCACTGATTTTCTTTGAAATTTTGTAATCACTAGTGGCTTTTTAAATTTATATTGAAAGATCTGATAACTCAATCTTTTTTCCCCTTGAGCTAATAATTTCATGCAGTCCTTTCTTTGGAATTTTGCACAAATAGGAGATGAATAAAAGGTTTAAGGATATTGGCTATTGTCATTAAAATATTGCATGATGATTAAATATCTATATGAAAAGCATTCCAGTTTTAAATACAAATTCACAGATTGTTTTTTTCCTTCCAAAGCATAACATCTATTAATAATAATAGAATAATATTTGTGCCTATTATTCTATTATTTTATTAAATGTTGATTAGGAAGAGGGAAATATCAAATTATTATAATAGTAGAGGGGAAATAACCTTATAAAAATAATCAATAATTATTATCAGGTGAATCTCTAGCCATTTTCTAGGATGAGAATTTGGAACAAGGAGATGGAATATTATGTACTTTTGAATCAGTAGCAAAGGTTCTTAAAATCTTAAAAATATTGCTTACAATAACATAATGTGAGTAGTTCCAAAAAAGCCAACTCGAGTTCCAATGAATTGGAAAATTTAACCATGGAAGGCCTGTCCAGTTAGTATTCCATTTTTATTTGATATTGAATGTGATGTTATAAAAATCACTATGATTTAAGGAGGTGACTGAGCTTCTGAATTACGGGGGAAAAATAATATTGACCTTTATAACCGTATTGTGCTTGAGTGAGGGTTATTAAAGATGATTCATGTTGTGAGGGAAAAAAACCTCTGAATGTACAATCTTGGATTATCAATGTGTACTTCTTTACTGCTTATAAAGTAGCACTTTATTAATGAAGTGGGAAGAATGATCAATATTATTTTCTGTGGTCAAAGGTTCATAGTTTGTTTTAAAATTAGCCTTAATTGACTTACCCGACAGATGAGATACCATATATATTGTTGTTAGTAACCTCCCCCCAATTAAAAGATGCACTCTCAATTTCAGATAAAAAGTAATTTCTTTATGAATAAAAATGTGTTTGTACAAATAGGACTTAAATTGAGTTCGTGCATCCTGACCTTTATATCTGGGATGATGACAGTGTATGAAAACATAAAACAAACATGAAATAAGTCTATAGATTGTACTTATTTCTATTTCCTCAATAGCTAATGACAGACTCAGAAGACAATTTAAATCAAGGAAATGGTGTGTGATTCTCAAAGAAGTTTGTGCAATTTCCTCTACAGAGAAGGTTACTTGGTACCAGTGGTGGGATTCAAATTTTTTTACTACCTGTTCTGTGGGCATGGCTTGGTGAAGCCATGGTAAGGGGAAGGATATTGTAAAATCTCCAGTCAGAGGTGGTATTTGCCGGTTCTCTGAACTACTCAAAATTTCAACTACCAGTTTTCCAGAACTGGTCAGAACCTGCTGAATACCATCTCTGCTTGTACTTAATTGCTTTGAAGCTCATCACATTTGGCACTCAATACATTTTGATGCAAAATTTTTGTCCCAGTACTCATTGTTTGTTTGGTATTTCACACACAAGCTAGAACACTGGTGTTGGCTGCCTTGTGCCACACTACATTATTCCTTATGGGAAAAATTTGTTTGGTACTTATCATTTTTGGCACTCATCATGTGTCCCATAACCAATCAACCATAAGTACCAAGGTACTACTGTATTTATTAGAATCTGGGCATTATGTATTCCATTCATGTTGTATGTTGCTAATTTTGTAGTTCTTTTTTTTCCAAAGTACTAGCAGATGATATATAAATGCTGCCAACAAATATATAAATAGACACATCCTTAAGGAAGCAAGCAATTAAATAACTATAATTGTCCCATCAAACTGAATATAACACACTGCAAAATAAGGTGGGCTTTGATATTCTCTAGAAAGCAGATAAAATGCATTTATAATCACTTAAGAAAACAATCCTCTGTTTTTTTTCTAGGAGTGACTGGGTAACATCTTACAGAGTTATGGTGAGCAATGACAGTCATGAATGGATCACTGTCAAAAATGGTTCTGGAGACATGGTTAGTGTCCCAAGAAATACCCTGTTTATTCCCATTCAGCAGTCATATTTATCAATAAGGTGGCTTAATTTCACCATTCACCTCAGCAAAATTTTAGAGAACCATCAAAAGCTAGCCAGATGAAATGATCAGAAAGCATTTAATTAGCCAGATCTTGGTGAAATTAAGAAGTTCTCTGATAGCAGATGCTGAATTTTGAAATTCACTATTGAAGATCACTACATACACCTTCCACATACATCAGCTCAAGTAGTCAAAGCTGCTTACAAAATCTTTCGAATCTCAAAAATCTCCATTTCAAAAATACAAGTACATTTGCTAGAAAAGGTTAGGCTGTTCAAAGATTTCTGGATTGCCCATTAAGTCTCGTGCCTCCCACTCTTGTTTGTCAATAGAAACCCAGTTCAAGTAATAACTTTTTATGAACAAGAGTACTGAGCTCTACAAGAGAGATGTGTGTTTTCCCAGTTTCCTTATAAGTTTTATTATGGCTAATGCAATACGCCAGATTTTTCAAAGCCTGTGACAATCTTACAGTTTGCACTATTTGTAAATGGTGAATTTATATTCTTACCCTAGTGCATTTTTAGACACTTCTAGATTAGGACCTTCTTTATTAACTGTATATTCAAGACAGAAAAAGCAATGGAACATTCTAGAAAACAGGGTAATAGGATAGATGTTTGGGCTTCCATCATTCATATGGTATTGGTCATGATGAGCTCACTGCACTATTTGAAATAAGAATAATCATGGCATTCTATATATTTAATTACATTTTTTTCCCAAAGAGAGGCAACTCATACATTGTTCACTGTAACAGAACAAATATTTGTGCCATGAAGTTATCAAAGGGTAGAGTATGAATGCATGCCTATTATAATAATAAGCACAGTAATAGAACGAACATCTAAGAGAAAATGCAATTACTAAGTAGAAGAACCAGTAGTATATAAAGTCAGTAACCTGCAATTGATCTGAATATGTTTTTTTTCCTTCTTCTGACTTATTTTTATGTTAATTTTCCCATAGATGAAATGCAAATAGCAGTCTTGGAAGAGATCTAAAGCACATTTTGCAACCTATAGTTTCAAACTTCATACAGCCTCCTCCAAAGCTGCCTAATGTGACAGAATTAAGAAAGCTGTGGAGTATTTTAAATTTATAACTTTAGATATAATTTGTTTTTTGCTCTAGCTCTGACTCTAGCTATCTAGCTTGACCTACTTTTTCAGCTCAGTAATCTGTACCTTTTCCAACTAACACATTTTATTAAAATACATAATCTTTTGTGAGCCTTGCCAGATAGCTCAAGTTAGGCTAAATATGAGTATTAATTAAATATTAAATTACAAAGGATATAGAAGGGAAACTGGGTTCAACATCAGTTTCCCTTCTATATCCTTTGTAATTTAATATTTAATTAATACTCATATTTAGCCTAATATCATCCTTTCTCCAAAACTAGGAGAAAAAGACATTGCACAAGACATTTAAACAATTTTTATATTCCTGTAGTAGATTTATATCCATAAAAGCATCCTCTGAAATATCTAAAATTTATGTGCATTGTTTTCTTGGACAGCTTTTGGGTATCATCTGAAGGTCTGTTATCTAAGACTCAAACAAGGGTTTATGATGGGGTATCAAACTGTGGCATCACATGACGTATCAGGACTCCCCCCCTCGCTAAACTGGGCATGGGTGTGGTCAACACGTGATGCATCCAGCCAACTGGCTGGGAGTTCAACAGCCCTGATTTATACCATCACCATCTCTCTACTTGTGGTCTCTCCTGGTTCTCATTTCACTGATATTGTGTCATCAGTGAAAGGCCAAAATATAGAATACTTTCAAACTGAATTTGCTTGAGAATGTTTAAAAAAAGTTTTATTGGGCTAGTGGCATTCCCTTTGTCTCACTGATATGTAGCCCCAAATATCCCTTTTGAAGGCTATATTCAGCACTCACTCTACCCAAAGAGATTCTTCGCCAGAAGACACATATTTGGTTGGATGAACTTTTTTTTTTAATTTGTAAAGCAGTCGTATGCTATCTTGCAAATTAATATGAAGACAGGAAGACGAGGAAGGGAAGTTTCTCTCAAACACAGTAATCCATTTTAATTTAGCCTCAAGAAAGGTCCCATTTAAACTAAGGAAAATGGGATAAGGAATAATGTTTTCTTGAATGGTCAATGTAACATCTAATTCTTCTTCTAACTTTTCACTGGTTTCAGTTTTTATTAACTATGCCCATTCTTTTTGTATTTAAATAGCTTTTTGAAGGCAACAGTGAAAAGGAAATTCCAGTCCTTAATGAATTGCCAGTACCCCTTGTTGCACGTTACATACGGATAAACCCTCAGTCCTGGTATGAGGAAGGAAACATATGCATGAGACTTGAGATCCTAGGCTGTCCTCTTCCAGGTAAAACCATGTTTAAGATCAAATTTGGCATAAAGTATTAAAAAAAAAATCAAAGGAAAGTTCTGGGTTTATTAAGAGCTGTAGTGGCACAGTGGTTAGAATACAGTATTGTATTTATGCTAATTATGCTGACCGCCAGCAGTTTGACTCAATCGGCTAAAGGTTTACTCAACTTTCCATCCTTCTGAAATCAGTAACATAAGGACCCAGCTTGTTGGGGGGAAATATGCTGACTCTGTAAACTGCCTAGAGAGGGCTGCAAAGCACCATGAAGTGGTATATAAGTCTAAGTACTATTGCTATAATTACAGGGGGTGAAGTTGCTGAATCTCTTTGAATCAGAGGACATAGTTAGAATGTTGAGAACTTATTAGATATGATCTCACAAAATGGTAGATGCAGTATAACAGGGCGAAGTAGAGATTTTTCTCTTTTCCATTTTGTCCAGCTAGCCAAGATATTCATCTTTTATCATGCCATTTGTCTTTTTGGAATTGGACACAGATTAAGCACTGGTTAGCAGCTACCAAGTATTCTGAATTTCTGAAAAATCTGATCTATGTGCTGAGTCATTAAAAAAATAGAAGGTAGAATTATTTTCATAAGTTATAAGGAGGATATTTTTTCCCGTGATGGTTTTTAGAGTTAATAATACATGAAGAAACTAAAGAAAGTATATGCATACTAGCTGTTCAAATTCTTTCTTGGTTTTTAAAAATTCTACAAATAGATACAGAATAAGACAGAATCCTGAAATGGAAATTGGTTGATTGATTGATTGATATAAATATATATGCCACCCATCTCACTATTGAAGCAACTCTGGATAATATTTTTCCCACAAAAATGTCCATGAAGATTTTTTCCCTGAGTGTAAGGATCTATACAGATAGTCTTTGACTTACAACAGTTCACTTAGTGACTATTCAAAGTTACAACAGGACTGAAAAAAAGTGACTTATGACCATTTTTCACGCTTATAACCTTTTGCAGCATCCCCATGCTTACGTGATTTACAGTTGGATGCTTAGTAGCTGGTTCATATTTATGACTTTTGTAGTGTCCAAGGGTCATGTGATCACATTTTGTGATCTTCTGACAAGCAAAGTCAATGGGGAAGTCAGATTCAATTAACAATCCTGCTATTAATTTAACAATGGCTGTGATTCACTGAACAACTGTGGCAAGAGAAGTCATAAAAATGGGGCAAAACTCTCTTACCACTTTTCTCACTTAGCAACATAAATTTTGGGCTCAGTTGTGGTCGTAAGTGGAGGACTACCTGTATCTGCATTTGATTGATTTTCAGTATTTTCTCAACTTAACTTTCCTTGAAGTTGGAAAGAACCTAAGAAGTAAGTGATTAGTTTTCTAGACTTGTAGAATTCAATTTTTAGCTCGAGTCCTTCATCTATAGTGAAAATTGCTATCATAATTTAATGCAGTTCACTTTTTGAACTAACTTTATATCTAAGGATTGAGTAAACTGCCCAATTAGATTTCTCATTTTGAAATAATCCTCTATGGATTTAAATATGTACAGCAGTTGATATATCTGTATCAGCTACTATGTTATATCTAGTTTATATTGGCATTGCAAAGATATAAAAATATTGAGTGAGAATAAAAATCAGAGAGTTTAAAGTCAACCAGTTATGTAAAGTTGCATCCCTATACCATTGCCGATTATGTAAAAGATCTAACTGATGATTAAATAATGACATATCCCAAGAAGAAGCTAAGTCTATTTTTGTACTTCACAGATCACTGAAAATTTTGTTCATTTTATTTCTGAATACATGACATATAAACATCCTTGTGCTGGATAAATTTATCTAATATTAGCTTCTGATATATTTTCCTAAACTAAATGTTAATGTGAATCAAATATGTAGATAAGCATACATAAATAACATGATGGGGATTATAACAAAGATCTGGTGGACATCTGAAGAGTAATGTTCTTTGTTCCAAAGCAAAAATAAAATAAAATGAAATATGGGATAGGATGTTGAATTGTCACCTGCAGTCTGATTAGGGATTTTAAATCACCACTTCAACTATTCCAATCAGCTCACTATTACAACATGATCTATATTATTATCATTCAATAACTGTAAATAAATGATCATGGTCAAAAATACTATTCTTTCTTTTTGAAAAATATTTATCTTTTTTTAATTACAGACCCCAACAATTATTATCACAGAAGAAATGAAATGACTACCACAGACAACTTAGATTTCAAGCATCATAATTACAAAGAAATGAGGCAGGTAGGATGCAAAGGAGCAAAAAAAATGTGTATAAAGTTCCTTAAGCAGGAAATAAAGTGGCATTACTGAGAATAGTTACCCTGAAGAAATGTGAGGGGAAAAAAGACAATGCAGAGAATTTAAATAATACTAATGGGCTATTTGGTTATATAGCCTTAGGTTATAACCATTAAGCTCCATTTTAAAATAATTGGATGCGCTTACTGATCGGGTGATTTAAAGCCTGCTTCAGAAAATGGTCAAAAACTTAGTTGCCTGTAATCCACTGGGAACATAATTTAGTCAAGTATTTCTCAAAATAATTCTCCCATGTACTTTATTGCAAATTTTTCAATTTTGAAATGAACACTGTTTTTTCTAGCTCTTTCTCAATAAGGATCTTTTTAAAAACATTCATATTGGAGAATGACACATACCTATTGCCATAGGCTTACTATGAAATCTGGTTCTCCTTATGCTTATACTGAGTAAAAATGTAAGAAAAGCCTTCTTCATGCAGCAATTGTTCATATAATGAAATAGCAGAGTTGGAAGGGACCATAGAGGTCTTCTAGTCCAATCCCTGCTCTGGCAGGAAATCCTATACTGTTTTAGACAAATCGTTGTCCAATCTCTTCTTAAAAACTTCCAGTGTTAGAGTTTTCTCAACTTCTGGAAGCAAGTTGTTCCACTGATTAATTGTTCTGTCAGGAATTTTTTCCTTAGTTTTAGGTTGCTTGATTGGTTTCCATCCATTGCTTCTTGTCCTTCCCTCAGGTGCTTTCTGACTCTTTCTTCTTTATGGCAACCCCTTGAGATATTGGAACACTGCCATCATGTCACCCGCTACTCCTTCTTTTCATTAAACTAGACACACCCTATTCTAGGAACCGTTCTTTCTATGTTTTAGCCTCCAGTCCCCTAATCACCTTTGTTGCTCTTCTCTGCACTCTTTCTAGAGTCTCAGCATCTTTTTTAAAATGCAGTGACCAAACCTGGATGCAGTGTTCCAAGTATGGTTTTACCAAGGCATTATAAGATGGTATGGTTTGCAGGTTTCTTTCCCTGGAATAATTCTGAGAAAGCTCTTGTGAATGTGCAACACCAATTACAGGTAGTCCTCAAGTTACAACAGCAATTGGGACTGGAATTTACATTGTTAAGTGAGGATGTGCAAGGAGTGCCAGTCAGAAGGAAATTTCAAAGACTGGTCACAACCACCATTGAATGCCATCGTAACCTCAACAGTTGCTGAATAAATAGTTGTAAGTTGAGGATTACATGTAGTCAAATGAAAGGTTTTAGAGGCCTAGCCAGAATGAAAGCCACCATGAAGTATTCTGAGTATTTCTGTGTTGTGGTACACGTTACCTGTGGCAGTGTATATGGTCTGATCTTAAAGTCATATATATATTTATTCAAAATCATTCTGGCTTCTGTTGTCTTTCTTATAGATGCTCTGTATCCAGAATGCTGGAGAAATCTGAATATTAAGAATTATAGTGAAAACTTAATCAGATGTGGGTAGCTTGGATGAAATTGTGAATTAAATGTAGCCATTCACCAGCCTTCACACTTTTCTGTAACTCAAAAAGTATCAAAATAGGTTTATAAATGTCCATTCTGAGGTAAAATAAGCTTCGGAACTAATTAAAATATATAGTAAAATATTAGATACCTCTTTTATAGATTTGTATATGTCTCTCTGTGTGTGTCTCTGTGTGTGCCAATATATATTAGCAAACTGAGAGCAGTTTGGTCTAGTGGTTAAGACACCAGGTGGAAAACAAAGAGATTGAGTTCTAGTTCTTCCTTAAGAATGAATACCAGTTGGGTCACTTTGGACCAGGCACACTTTCTTAGTGCACAATGTGAGGATTAGGCAACATGCTGTTTAACTAATTCTTGTCTCAACCAATGGGTAAACATTTGGTTTATTCAAAGAAGGAAGGAAGGAAGGAAGGAAGGAAGGAAGGAAGGAAGGAAGGAAGGAAGGAAGGAAGGAAGGAAGGAAGGAAGGAAGGAAGGAAGGAAGGAGGGAGGGATAGAGGGAGGGAGGGAGGGAGGGAGTGAAGGAAGGAAGGATATAAGAGACTTGGAGGGTTCCTGTTGATTCAGACTCTAAGTGGTTATTGACTGGCCCTATAATTTTTTAACAATGGTGAGGAACTGGTGGCATTATTTAAAATTTTGGAAACTTTGGAAAAGATATCTTCCTGAAAATGGGAATCAAGCCGGTGATTTTGCTTTTGTGGAAGCCGTTGGCTGTCAGTACTTTAGTCAGGGTGCATAGTTCAGTCTTTATGTGTGTGTAAAATCACTGGCTTGATCCACAAAAACACATTGACACATAATGGAGACCTAGAAAATGAACAGACCTATGGAACAGCTGTCCTGCCCTACATAAGAGGTACTACAGACAAAATCAGTAAGATACTACACAGGCATCACATCAAGACTGCCTTCAAAACAGACAGAAAAATAGCAGCCATCCTCAGAAACCCCAAAGATAAAATTGACCTGGAAAACCAAGGCATATACGAAGTCCCCTGTGCATCATGCCCGGCCACATACATTGGACAGACCAATAGAAGAATAAGTACCCGCCTGGATGAACACAAAAATGCAGTAAAAAAGCTGGAACACACTTCCTCACTAGTCCAACACATGAAAGCCACAGGTCATAGCATCAACTTCAATGGCACCAAAACCCTAGCCACTATAGAAAACCCCAGCCACAGAATTATCAGAGAAGCCATAGAGATTGAAAAAAGACCTGAAAGCATGAACAGAAGAGATGATTCCACTAGACTGTCAATTATTTGGAAGCCTGCACTCACAAACAAAAACATCTCCACACCACTAGCCAGGCAAACACCTGGGCACAAACAGATCCCCCCTGATACCTCCAGCTCAAATACACCCCAACCAGGCACCCAGATGAAACCTAGCTTCCTAACAAATGATAGCCATCCATTTACTCGGAGCCAAGCTGAACTAAAAGCCTCCAATACAGGAACACAATGTTACCAGCCAATCAAGACACAAAAAAGAGCCACAAAACAGACAGAAGATATTAGAAACACCAATCAAGCAGAACACAGCAAACTCCAGGACCAATAAACACAGACCAAGACTCCCAACCAATCAGGATGAAGAAAAAACCATTCTGGCACAGCAGTAGGCTAGCCCCAAATTTAAAACTGAAACAACTGTAAAAGTCTGACTCACAGATGAACACAGTACAGAAGCCTGATGATAGCAGATGAGATTCTGCCGAAACGTTGCTACAACTTTAAAAGCACAACTACAATGACGTGGGAAAATACCCGAACAAAGCTGAATACCATACATGTAAGTACCCGCGAAAACTTAACAAAACATATATATAGATAGAGGGGGGGAATGTGCAGCAGACCAAGGTCTACTCTGCAGCATGTAGAAGTATTTGTGAGAGGCTAAAAAGGAAGTGGGGTGAGGGAGTTCATTTAAATGTAGCCCTGGGCAACCATAGCAATTTTTCTAAGGTACAGTGGAAAATGTTGGATTTGTCAGCTAAGGAGGACATTTGTACTCGTGATGACTCATCAGGGGTTCTAAGAAATAAGAAATAACAATTTCTACAGTCTGAGCAAGTTAAAAAAAACCTAAAGAAGAGGATTTTAGAAAGGCACTTTTTTATGGTCCTATAAATTTGATTCTACTAGATAAATGAATAGTAGACTTCATGCAGAGTGTACGGATAGCATTAGAGGCCACAGAATACAATTTTCATACAAAGGTTCACATAGATGAAAGTCCTTTCCAATTTATGTTTAGATCCACCAAATATAATTATATTCTTCACTTTAGTGCATTGAGTAATATGACTCTTAATTAATATCACCAGCAGTGTAGGTGTAGAATGTGTTAAAGATTTTTTCCCTATCTTGTTCTCCAAATATGTTTAGAAATGAAGTATCTTCACCGTATTTATCCTGGATGAGTCATCCTTCTTCCTTTTTTCTGAACAATTGTGTACTGAGTCACACACAGTTCAGAAGAGATTTCATGGCCTATATTTCCAGCAGACAGATTAGATGAGTAGGAACTCAATTGGCATAATTAGTGTCAAGAACAATAACTTTAAAAGCATTTTAGTGCCTAAGGTTGGTCAGGTGTGTGTGTGTGTGTGTGTGTGTGTGTGTGTGTGTATGGCATTCAGTACAGAAGCCTGATGATGGCAGATGAGATTCTGCCGAAACATCGCTACAACTTTAAAAGCACAACTACTATGACGTGGGAAAATACCCGAACAAAGCTGAATGCCATACA